TTAAATTGATATGGATTTCTAATTTTTTGGCAAAACGCCAAAGTTTGTGTCAAAAGACGTCAGGTATTGCTATTTAACTACATCCTTTATAGTTAACTCATAGATGGTCTTCTGGATAAAGTTAACTACCGTTTTACTATAAACATGATATTGAAAAACCTTTCTCATAGATAACTGTAAGTTAAGAGTATGGTCGTAGTTAACTTGCGACTGAAAAAACGGGCTTTGGAGTTTTATATTGTTTATCGTGGATGGAAACCTTAAGCGACGAGTCCAACATCAAGTTATATAACAGGAAGTGACCATACAAAGCACCATTGTTTTAGAATATCCTGTACCTGTAGTCGTTTATTTTCATGAATGAAGTAGTTACGATACCACTATTTTATCGATACAATCGATTGATAAAATACTACTTTAATCTTTCTCTGATTCATCTGTTGTTGGTGTTATGTGTTGTTGAAATGTAGCCGACGCGGCTATAATGGTACAATATACAGGGTTATCCAAATTAAGTGTCCACCATTAGTAACTTTCTATTAGTGAAAATACAAAGTTGTTTGAATTAGCAAACTAGTAGCATTTTTAACGCTGGTAAAAATGAGAAATAAAAAAAAACAATTGAGAGTCGTTATTTTGATTTTTTTCAGTAAAATAACATTTTTTTAAATGGAAACCCCTGTATATTATATTTTTTTCTGTTAAAGCATCAAATTTTAAACAAAAAAGTTCATAATGACTTTTCCGCTAAAGTCAAAAATAAAGTCAAAATAACGATAAATATTTTTAATTATTTGCAGTATTATAATATTAAGACGGCTATGAAAACAACATGGCGTTCGCGATTTGACAGCATTAAGATAAGCGACAAATTGTTAAACTGGACATACTCGCAACTAGAAGGCTTTGGAAAACAATGATAAAATCAAATAATGTCAAACATTAGTGTAAATACTTGTTTATAAGCTTTATTGTGTCATTAATTTAAAGAAAAATGTTCTCCCATGAAGAAAAGTGTGATATGTTAGAATGCTATTTAGTGTGCAGAAAATCCTCCTTGAGAGCAAGATTTATATCCCGCTCGCATTCAACCGTATGAACGATATTTTCTGAGACTTTATCGAAAATTTAGGGGCAACGAAAATGTTTTTGCTAAAACAAGGGCAAAAAAAGCGAGCGAGGCCACGGAAATTGCAGTTATTGGATATTTTGAAGCTTATCGTGAGAATTCAATAGCAGATATTCTCAAGGACTCTAATTTCAGTTATGGTACTGTTCAAAGGATTTTAATAAAATACAAATTTATTCCGTATAAGTACCGACCAGTTCAAACGCTTTTGGCAGGGGATCCAGAGAGAAGACTTGTTTTTTGCCATTGGTATCTTAGCTTCTGTCGCCAAAATGTAAATAACTTTCGTTACCTTTTATGGACAGATGAATCAAATTTTTCAAATTCTGGAATGTTTAATAGAAAAAACCACCATTATTGGTCAAGAGAAAATCTTTTGTTAGTACATCCAAGAGGCCCACAAGTCCGTTTCAGTTTCAACGTTTGGTGCGGTATAATTGGTTCAAAAATTGTTGGCCCGTTCTTTTATGAGGGAACCCTAACTGGTGAAAGATATGTGGAATTTATGTCAGAAATTCTGACTAATTTCTTAGACGAATTGGATCTTATAAGTAGACATCATCTGCATTTTCAGCAAGATGGCGCACCTGCCCACAACTCCAGAGGTACTTATCATTTTCTAAGTACTACTTTTAATGATCAGTGGATAGGAACAAATGGCCCAATACAGTGGCCTCCCAGATCACCAGATCTAAACCCACTTGATTACTTCTTGTGGGGTTACTTAAAGAACCAAATTTACAAGCGAAGGTACGATAACCTTGACGCGTTAAAGACTACAGTTAGGGAAAAGATAACCCAGATAGATGGTAGGACCATACTTAAGACAGTTCGAGCAGTTGAAAAACGTGCCCAAAAATGTATTGAAGAACAAGGTGGTGTTTTCGAGCATCTTCTTTAAAAAAAATTGTTATTGTATTTTGTAAGATTATAAGTTGATGTTGAAAATAAAGTTTGTCGATACAATTTAATTGTTTCAGATTGGAGGCCATAACTTCAACAATTTGAAACCTAGGAGAAAAGTTATTGTAAGCTTTTTTGTTTAAAATTTGATGCTTTAACAGAAAAAAATATAATATACAGGGGTTTCCATTTAAAAAAATGTTATTTTACTGAAAAAAATCAAAATAACGACTCTCAATTGTTTTTTTTTATTTCTCATTTTTACCAGCGTTAAAAATGCTACTAGTTTGCTAATTCAAACAACTTTGTATTTTCACTAATAACAAAGTTACTAATGGTGGACACTTAATTTGGATAACCCTGTATACCTTGGTGGTGGAGAAGTATGCCATTATAGGCAGATAACTTTTGCACCCTACCTTATTTTGAAGCTTATAAGTGTTTCATAACCCAAGAATATAAAATCACTACCTTTCAAACTAGGGATCTGACAGGATGTCAAAACTGAGTGTATTTATACATTGAGTCACTTATAACACTACAATCAGGGGCGTAGCTACCTCTGTATCAGCCGTATCAATGATACGGCTTACAGAGGCCCCTACGTACGAAAAAAAATGCATAGTGTTTTCCACAATATCACGCAAGTTTTTAGGCCGTATGTGATAGTAGCATGCTTCCTATTTTTAACTTTCTAGATTATAACTGCAACAGTTGAAAGAAGCATTTCGAATTTAACAGTAATTAAAGTATCTTAAGACTTCTATGATGCAACTTTGAATATCAAGCATGGTGCTTTTTTCAATGGTTGTACATTTCGAAACGTTATAACTGTCTTTCGCTATGGATGGTTTAATGCAAAAATTTTCAGAAAAAAATAGTGGGAAGTAGATTGCCTTGGTACCCAAGCAATCACCTGTGGCTATTGTCAAATTTTCCATGAGTCTTGCTAAAGAAACAAAATGTTTGAGTTCCAAAATGTTTTTGAATATGTTCTAACCTGAAGCAATGAGAAATGATGGAATGTAATTTTCAAAATTAGTAACCTCTCTACAAGCCTTACCCTTAAAAATGTTCAGAAAGTTGTGAAGCATGAGAAAAAAAGTTTGGGACGATCTGAAAGCTATTTTGATTTTTACTCATAACAATGCTGCCATTTAATAGATTTTTAAAAATGATGTAGCATTACCTGCAACGATACAAAATAACAGTCTTTTATCAAAATTTCGATAATTTTCACTTACATAGTAAACACCTTCCCCCCAGCCCCAAAAACTCTGATACCTTCGCTCTTCAAAAAGTTTTGGGGTTAGGTATACTTTTATAGGAGCTTATCTCTTGCAGATGATCCACTCTCTTTGCCTGAGAACACTTCCCGAACACGCCCATGGTCAATACATAAACATTCATATTATTCAATGCAAGCATTGTGAAAATTCAAATTTTACTCTCTGATATTCGCCACAGTTGGGTGCCCCCTCACCCCCCACGAAATTTGATATGTACAACCAGTGATTAATAAAAAGATATTATATGTATCAATCTTCTTCTGTGGGAGGGGTCTATCCCAGTCATTCCCAAAGTGGGAGATGACGTACCCTTGTGGCCGCAATGGCCTACGGGGAACGGGGTAGGTGAAGAGCCCAGAGGAAATTGAAGGTCGTTGAATTAATGATTCGATTTTCAAATATTTAGTTGTTGATACCGCTCCCGCTCTTCTAAATTGCCATAAGGGTTCTTTCTCAGAAGCACTGAAGCAGCAGATGACGATGCCCCCCCTTCCCCCGCTTCTCAATTATCAATCGCAGATTGGCAGCAGCGGTGGCCGCAGTAGTAGACTCTTCGGTCTCCTGATCAGTCGCCGTGCGCTGTGCGGGTTCGAGTCCCGTCGCAGGAGAAATTTTTCTCTTGGATATGGATGTTGTGATTGTCCGTAGGTGGTAAATGGTCTCTGACTGTCGAACGCGGAGGTACCACCCGGCGGTTCTCGTAGGCGGAGCCAGAATGTGTGCATGTCCGTGTGGCGTCCCCCCTTTCCCATGTATCCCCCTATAGCCCCACGGTACCCAATGGGTGCTTAGGCCTTAGGCCTTCGTGGTAGTTGGAGTATAAAAAAAAGATACCCCTCTCTCCCGAACATGTAAAAAAATAAGAGGTGCTTACAATTACCGGGGGTTGGGAGCCTGAAAATATACTAAGATCAAAGAATTTTCATATACCCTCCCCAAGCCCCAAATTACAAACCCTACAAATGTTTTTCTGAAAATGTTCAGGACTCTCTGAAATAGCAAAAAACGATTTTACTGCAATTTTTATTATTTCGTCTTTGGATTCTTTCTCCGCCGTCACTGCATCGATTTTCTAAAACTACAAAGCATTTTCGTCCTTGGCAATCTTGTGTGGAAATTCCATCAAAATCTGAGCTATGCTTCTTACGATGGGCCAAGACAGACCGACGGAAATTAGTAACGTGTTTTTTCCTGATGTAAATGTCATATAACATCCAAAAAACAATATTTCATTTTCGAATTATTTCACGATTACATTACTCCTCGCCCAGTAGCGTGAGAAGTAAAATGTCTCAAGATGGTGTCCATCCACATCTTGAAACTTTCAACTGTTATATTTTTGTTAAAATATAGTATTCATACATCAGTTTCATGATCCCGAATTGCAGTTCTCTAACTTGACCCATTCAAAAAACAAATAGGGAGTGTTTTTTGAAAAAGCACTGTACATATGATGTATAAAGGCATGACAGAGCTTCATCAGCTAGGTTTACTTCTTCTTACTTCTTAATCTCTATCTAGTAGAAAAAATTCAGATATAGTACACCCGAATGAATGGCCTGATAACATAATTCCAGTGAAATATCGCCTAATTATTTATTGAAGTGCGTCGGTCTTATGTCTAAATTTTTTACCAGTTTTGTTTGAGAAGTATATAACGTACAATCAGATGTACTTACCGGTAATTCACATCCATTTTCAGCTTTCAAACACAGCTTAACGTTGCACTGATAGTACACAGAGGCAGTGTAGGGGAACTTATGGGCTTGGAACTCCACGGAAGCTTTGGTGTTATCCTCGCTGTACTGGAATAGGCCCATGATTTCTGGATCAACAGGACAGCCATCTATATCGATGAGTCTTTGTTCTCCCCATCCTAAACCATCTCTCACCTAGACAATCATAAAATATTCAAGTATTTTCTGCTTACTTGTTCAAAATCAGCTTTTAGTATGATACAATAGCTTTGTTCCAACAAACTATCATACTAGTTTTAAAATGAACAGTGAACTGAGCAGATTATCGTTTCAGCAGAAAATGGAACTGATTCTGGGAGTTCTGTGTTCCAACTAATTCCGAACTAATTCCGAACTCTCAACTAGTTCCGACAGTCCTGAGAAGGAACTAAAAGTTCGAATTTGTTAGCCATGATACAGAATAAACTATGCCGAGCAGCGCTCTTCATAGCTGGGAAGCTGTTTTTTGTGGTCGCCATTTTGTGCCTTTTCCAACTTTTCTGTTTTTTTTTTCAGATACGAACCCTAAATCTTAACTGCTTTTAAGGCTGTATAGTACACATATTCAAGAAATGAGAGACGATGAAGATAACTTTAGAACAGAGTCAGGCAAAGAAGGTCCTGAGCTGATTATAGGGTTAAGAGCGAGTAATGAAAATTCATAGGCGAATGTTGATAATTTGAATGAAATTTGTTCAGTCATCTAATTAGTATTATTAATATTATTTTTTTCTCTTAGTTCAAGTCAATTAATAGTTTAGTGTTGTTAACATTGCATGCTTCCTCTGAAAGCAAAATTATGAATTTTTCCAGCTCTAAAAAGGACGACTCATAAACTACTCATCTCTTGTTAAATCTGCCATCTCTTTTTGCCATGTTTTTTTTATAAAAAAACTATAGATAATCTAAGGTTTAGCATATGAAAACTTCCTAATTTTAAATTTTACTTCAATTAAGGCTATGTTTACGACAATAAGCCATGAATTTCTGTTCCAACAGAGAGAACTATACTTCAGCACGCGCAGAACAACACTTTGGAATTAGTTCTGAACTTGTTCGGAATTGGTTGTTGGAGCAAATCTGATAATGTGTGCAAGGCGTTCACAGAAAATATAAAATGTTTCCTGGGTAAATCGGGTACGTAAATTCCGAATTTAAAATTAATTGACACTAGATCTTCGTGGATCGATAACTGAAACAAATGTTATGTAACACTTACTAAACAGTCTGTTACCCGGATGCCATAGGTATCTTGTTCATCTATAGCCACTACTAAAGATAGCGGATCTCCAATTTTAACGTTTTCGGCTACCTCTTTTTGCGTGGGATCTCCAGAAAAAATTTTCATACTGCAACCAGGCATGGGAGTTAAACTACCTGGGTCGGCAGATGTTACACTAGAAAAAAGAAAGATCGTATATTAAAGTAATAATAACTACAGGGTGTACTTAATGTTGGGAGTTTATGCGGCGTGCAGGTCTTGTAAAAATAAACAAATTTCCTAAGTCTCATATACACAAGAGAGTTAAGGTAGCAGGGATATTGAATTCCGAAAAAAAAAAATGTCAGATGGGGCCCCGTCTCTAGCATTATGAATAATATATCACCTTCAATTATGTTCAATTTATTGTAAAGGTTATTTTTTTTTAAAATATCGACAATACCAAAAAGTGCATAACAAAGATTTGAAGCGATAGTCAAAACTCAAAGCTTTTGCAATCATTAATTTCCACAAAAAATGCTCAACATTTTCTGAAAATTTATAATTTTCACTAATTTTTTTGATGTCGATTCTGCGTCGCAGCGTCACTCAGTGACAAAGATCCCCAGAGACGATTCTAAACTTTCAGTTTTATATAAATATAGGCACCATATGGCACTTTGGCGCCTAATTTGTGACTAGTTCCATTAGTTAGTTATCTGGTGTTTCAAATAAGTCTCTATGTGAAATATAATTAAAAAACAGTGAATCAAACATTTAACTATGCAGTGGTGGGTCATTCAAGCCACAACTACGAGAAAAGCAAAGACGTTTGGCATTTCTACAGTTTTGCGTCCTGAAGTGTTATCAGCAACACAAATTTAATAATTTTTATTAAAATGTAATGAACTCGGCTATACTTTCAACAATTACAACGAAAAGTCATTGACCGAATATTACTCAAATTCGTTGATTGATTTTTTTAGATATAAAATTCATTTTAAAATCCGGACGTTAAATAGAGATATAAAAGAAAAATCCATAATTGGAAAGAGGAAAATTATAACAATAAGCTCAATCAAACTGCCCACTCATACAAAATACTTTTATTAACGCCTACCCATGAAAATGATTAAAAAAATATGTCATATATACTGCATCTTGTTATCCTTTGCTTTTTTGTATAAAAAGTTAATATAACAAATCAATATATGTCACTGATCACTGATGCACAACGGTATTATTTGCAACGAATTTACTTCAATAGAAAAATACGTCCCTTCATTTGGAGTTGTAATGGAATTTTATTTTGAAAAGTTACAGGAGCATTTTCAATAATTAAATCTCAAGTTATGAGCCTTTTAACTTGTCTATTGTTAATTTCAAAATTGACAACCTTATAAAGGTAATGTACTCTGTCTATAATGACATATCCATTAAATCATATTGGCGAAACATCAAAATATAAATAAAACGTTCTATATAGTAATAATAAATAATGTTACAAGCGGAAAATTTGTCACCATGTCATGCATAAGTCCATAGACTAGAGAAAAATGATCTTGGGGCGGGAGTCGGACGCGCATAGCTCACGGCGACTGATTAGTACTCATAGCGTGTACCGCTTGGCCACAGCGCGGCCTCACCCACGTTTGAGAATATATTTGCTTTGTAAGCTCCACCTATCCAATTTTTTGTTAGTTAGCCTGATCTAAAACCTATTAAATCAGAAATTTTCATATCGAAGTCAAAGAAAAAATATGAGCTATGGACACGAAGATTTCGAGAACTCTTCGTCACTCTGGTTAACGAACAAAATTCAATTAAGGTACATTTTGACTTTCATGACTTTTTCATTACGAACCACCCTGTATAAACAATTACATAACTTACTCTATTTGCTGATGGGGATCATTGAGCACGGTATTATTCCTCGTCTTGTATCTGCACCTAATGTGAAACCCTTTGCCCTGATTGGTTACTAGTTTTAGATGAGGCTGGACTACGATAGTGTTGAAGAACTCAATGCCTCCATCATCCTGAAACAGAAAAAATTACTTTAAATGATGTTCTGCAATCTACATCTAGAATCTAAGTATACCTGTCAGTCACAGTGAAAAATGGATGTAGACCTGCAAGTTTGCATATTGGTACCAGAGAAACGTTCTTTGAGATGAAGTACAGAAACTTCTGGTGATACCAACCAATATATTATTAGCTCAGCAAATGAACACTGTTGGCGGAATAAAAATTCTATAAAGGGTGAATATTTGGATTTAGGTTATTGAAATATTGTTCTTTGGCCTAATGAAAGGTTATATATCCCGCAGCAAACAATGGCTGAAAAATGTTTGAAAAACTTTTTGTTCTTTGATTTTTTATATTACAGATATAGAAAAGTTCCCAAGACAATTTTATAGCTGGATGTATAAGCTACAAAAGCAGAACATCCTCTGGATCTGTTTCTGATTATTAGGAAGATGGGTGCCGCATTGGTCAACCTTGGATCAAAAATATTTCGAGTAGAACATTCCCAGCACCATGTGTTGTTGCTGATTTTAGGGATCTATTAAAAGTTGAAGTTGGTTGGCTAAATATGGATAATAGAAGAACTTAGTATTCGCTGTACATTTTCCATAGAATTATTTTGCTGAAGTCTTTCATTTGAAAGGATTACATTTCTTACTGATGTACGTAAGATCCAGAGGTCTGCTAACACCTCGTATAGTCCGCGTCCAAATATGCAAAGTGTATAACTGTCTGCCATTAAATTATAAAAAATATAAGTTTTATATGTTCATATCTGAAGTCAAAAACATGTTGTTTCATCATCAAAAATGATATTTTTCTTCTGCTGTTTTAAGGTTCTTAGTGATATAGTGTTTTGTTTATATTGAAGATTTAAGTGGAAGAGCAGCTTAGATGCTAAATAAAGGTCATTATTCTTATTATCGCAGAATATTATTATCGATTACCTGACTGTAAAAATCTGTGAGAGAAGTTCAGGTTCACAAAACAAAAAGAAAGTCATCTTCCATCAAGAAAACACACCTGCCCACAAAGGTGCCCTAACAATGGCAAAAAACATGGAAAAGTGAAGGCGTTGTTGTATCCTCAGATAAGTATTTTAGAGGTGTAAATCAAATAGCAACTCGCTGGAAAAATATGTAGATTATTAAGGGAGATTATATGGGGGATCATAGTATTTTCAGAGATCAACTAATCTTTATCTTTTACTCCCTATGTCACTGGCGGGGGAGTATCGTAGTCGCGAAAAATTTCGGAAATAAAATATTAACTATTTGTCCGTCTGTGTTTTCCTTGGCCTGTCTATAAGTTGGAAAGTACTTCTCGGATTTTGATGACACTCTTACGCATGGTGATAAATATGCCAAATACGAAAAAGCTTTATAGTTTTTCGAAATAGACACAGTGGTGGCGGAGCTACAGACAAAAAAGGAAAGAATGTAAAAATCGTTCAAACTTTTTAACGTTTCAGAGGATCCTGATGATTTTAGGGGGTGGGGACGAATATACTCGTATGTCAGTGTTTGAGTGCTAGCAATTTATACGTTAGACCAGTTAGACGTATTTAATAGATCATAGATTTCCTCGTACATTTGACCTTAAAACTTGAATAACAAAGTGTTTGCAAATCTGATGGGGACTGTTGACTAAGTGTATGAGCCTCTTTGCCTGGCATAAGCCATTTAATCCCTTTATTACACAAGGCCATAGTCAATTTTTTTCAAACACGCATTTACTTGTGCCGAATGTAATTTTTTATGGATTGATGTCAGCGTGGCGTAGAAGGTGCAGAGTCAACCTACTTGACGCCGTTTCTTCCATGTAAAGTTCAGAAGCTTCTTAAATCACCTGGTACATTACGGATTTCATTTATTGCTATAGGAAATGTTGTCCTTCTTGTTGTCATCTGTTAGGAAGCCACTCGATTCATCTTACGTATATGGCTTTATTTTTGACAAATGATATCATAAAGGCACGTATAACATAGCTATTGTCGTGTCGATTTGTGCGTCACTTAACGCGGCATCGTACGTACCAGTAATACCATTATTATTAGATTTCTCTTTCGTTTTACACTTTTTGTCTATGCAAACGGTCTGCACTTTTACTTGTTATAACAGGTAATAGCATGACATAAAACATTTACATTTTGTAGGTAACTTCACGCATACTCAGTTTTTTATTACATTCCATAGTTCATTTGAAGTAATCATAATATGGATAAATGAGTAGAAAATGTCGTGGATCTAAATTTAGCTGCATATTAACGCAGGTCTATCAAGTAAATGACATCCCTGTACTACACATTTTACCGGGAGCGGCGGTTCCATAAGGTTAGGTTGACTCTGCACTTCCCACTCGGCGCTGTCATCAGTTCATATTAGGATTATTTTCAGCACAAATTAGACCCTCTGAGAAAAAAGTTACCTAGTTACGAACATGTGGAACAACGAAATTAAATAGATCAAGTCAGTCAAGCAGGCACTTTCAATTACCTCACGTTGGTCCCACAATTTATGTTTGGAATGATTTCGGTCTCCTGGGGTAGGGGAGGGGGGAAGGATACAGCTTGACTGGCTTGATGGATTTTAACATATGAGGTGGCTCTAGATTTGTCTGGGAAGTGAGAGTGACTCCGGGGTATAAGTACTAAAATTTTATAAAATCAAACTGGTAGATTCTAATAAAAAGGTTCAACCTTTTAATCCTTATTTTACGGGCTACAGTTTAAACAGCTTGATGGATTTGAATTGAAAGTGCGAGGGTAGTCTAAAATTTTATAAAACACTGGTCACCCAGCTGTCAATTGCGAACTGAGATACAGTTCCAACAAACAGCTTGTAGTTTCACTCTCACAGTCGTCGAGTCTGGTAATAAATGGCACTTTATTCTGTTTCATTTTGATCGACCTTTTACCCTGGATAGAGGACATTTGCCCAGCTTTTGCTCGTTGCACGTTGCACTATCAGACCAAGCCTATACCATGCTGATGAGCTGTCAAAAGGCAAGGAACAGCTGTCCCTGGTTGGCCGTTTGTGGTCGGAGATAGGAAAGCTTTATTACTAGTTCACCGTACTACTCATATTCAATGTTTGCTTGGTATGACGATTGTGAAAATATCTCGCAGGCTACCTTGAAATGCGTAGTCTTGTAGCAAATAATCAACAATCTACCACCAACACGATTGCCGGGTTTTGTTACTGTAATACAGGTTTACGCTTACGAACCATAGAAAACATGTAAAACAGTTAATAAGTATAAATAGCTATCCGCGAAGATGATCCAACAGAACGCCGTCTCTTACCTTGAGCATGAGATCATCAAGGCAAAATGCAAGGGCGGCTTATGAACATGACAATCGTGTATATAACTTTTCTTTGAAACAGCTTTGGATGTAGACCCTCAACACCGAGATACCTCCGTGCTTATAAAGAGGCTAAAAAGATTTTGAACGACCCAAGGTAACTATAAAGTGTCCCAAAGATACTCGTACTTCAGGATTTTGCTTTTATGTAAGATTCTTGTTCATATTATCAGATTATTCTACGGCTATATAAAGTACTGAGAATCGGATGGTATAAGTATGACATGTACTTCATGAAAAAACATGCCACTCATTTGCACAGCAAACCTTCGATCCCTCCATAACTTGGAAAGTACTGATCCTCACGGTTATTATGTAAAATACCTATAAAATGTCAAAAAACCTATAAAATGACATCTTGCAGACTTGGTTGTTTTTAGGGTGCAGTCATTCCCCGTTTGCTCAATAGGGTCGTTGTGAGCGTCCATCTATGGAGGAATAGCTCAACTACAGGCATTGTTGGTTGCATATGTTTTTCCGGGTACTCTATAGTTTTCAACTCTGGAAGAAAGTTGGTTGAGTAGCAAGATCGCATCTGGATGATTGTGTATAGTCTGCATGTGTATAAAATCATTGGCATTTGCTGTGTGAGAAAATCATTACTGAATGAAGTATATCTATTAGCTATGCCCGACGGTTTATTTATATGTTTTCCTTTCTGAAGACAGGTTATGTTCAAAGTTATAAATTACGAGTTTTTACGTTTTATTGTGTTTTCTAAAACTTCGAGGAGAATTACGGGAAATCACCACCGCGCCCGCATCGTGTGCAATTTTTGTTAGCATATATATGACTTGTAGTTCGATAGTGAATATAATAAATTATTATCTCTCTCATTTTTGAAATTCAGCAAATTTGCATATTATGTAGTTTCCAGAATGGATAATCAAAAGTGGATGCCCAACTAATTTCTAGCTTTGAATCTTCAGTAAGTGTGTTTGAGACAAGAATCCAATGGAACTATCAACACATATTATTAGCACACAAATCCTCACTATGCACCTATGCATTGCCGTTGCCTTCAGTAATGACATCTCTGAAGCAGATTTTACATCACATCAAAGCCAAACATTTATAACTGGAGCCTCATGACGTTTAGGCAGCACGTACAACTACAAAACGAGTACACAACGTGTCCATCAGCTAGTGCTAAGGAAACAACTTGTGGAAAAACCTACATAATGTCACAAAAAACAATATAATGTAAAAAAATCGTCATAATGTCACGTTCAAGATAGATAATGCCCCTGAGGATTTGGATGAAGTTCTCAGGGGGTGGAGGAGGGTGTATCACAAGTTTTTGAGGTTTGTATATTACCTACATATATGTTATAACCTACCACTTGCCATGCGCCGCGGGGTGGTGAATGTTGAACCTTTGTCTTGTCTATATATATGAGCATTATGCTTGAAATTAGTCATTATTTGAGTTCATAAAGTAATATTTAGCCCCAAAGATAAGAGGCTATCGTGTACGACATGCTTATTTCTGTAATCTGAGAATCTTTTTTTAGATGAAAAGATCAAATAGTGCACTAATGTTTATGCATAAACTTTTTTGATGCTATTCCTCTATATGGAAAATTGTTCTACTCGTACCAATTGTTTCGAATGCATGGGAAGTATAGAGTCAATCTACTTGGTCATATT